TAAAATCAGCAATATATGGTTCCCCCTGGCGCCAGGCAGCTTATTTATGGTACCTGCCTCTAGTTATTAATCTTGCTTTGTTGTTTATCAATGAATTATACTCCTGAAATAATTCGTTTATATTAATATTTACTTCTCCCCATATCGGAAGAGCTGAATATGGTGGGTATATTTGAGAAAATGTCTTCCACCATCAACTTAGTGCCTTCAATTTGGACTGACTTGTAGAATTCAGTGCACAACTATAAACTTTTTCTTCTGTGAACATATTTTTTAGTATTCTAATTTTAATCGGCATAAACTCTCGTCTTCACACTCAAATTATCTCCTTATCTCTACTGTCTTTAAATTCTATATTACTTTCCTGGAATGTTTATCGGTCTGAGAACGTCGTCCTCGTCGGGATCTCTGGTAGTTCTTAATCAATTTGCTTCGTCACAAAAAAATTTGCATTATCCCCTTGAAGTAAATTATCGTCAGTTCTTCTTATTGCGTTTAAACTTACCATTTCTAGCAAATGAGCCGAATGCGTATATCTCCCTTCAAAGGGGAAACCAGATCATTCAGGGAGGTGAGTGAATATCCCTCTTCCCCCCTCTAAGGGGGACCATTTGATCATCAAGTTTCACCAGAAGAGTTTTGTTAACTTTTAATGATGCTGAAAGATACAAGTCCGATTTTCTTAGAATGGGTTGAGATGAGCGCCGAATTCCTTTTCATGTTCCTTTCTTAAATGCTCATGAACTATTATTGAAGAAATAACAGTAATGACAAAAATAATTACAAAACACAGTCTCTTACAAAACAGACACTTGAATAATGAAAATGTCTAAATTAATTGCAAATAATGCAAAATGTTATTCAATAGATTAGAGGCGCAACAACTTCACCTCGTTAAAATAAACAATGACCATGTGAAGGCAAGACCGTCCTTGGTCCTGATAGGTGTTCAGTTAACTGCAGTTCCAGCTGACAGCAACAAAAAATGCATCATAATTGATGTTTATACTCATAATGTTATTAATAATAATAATGGTAACGCTTTCTCGCGGATATAATAACAGGGAATAAAACCAACACTTGTTTGTGAAATTTATGTAAAGATTTACACCAAGTCTATTGCACTCTCCTGAGTGCTTTATCAAGGTCTGAGTGAAATGCCTGAAAGACCACTGGAACATTATCTAACACAGTGCAGAGTTACAAACCCATTTAGATTTCAACTTAAATTCAACAGAGCAGAAGTTGTTAAACACTTGGGGACAAAATCTTACTGAAACGACCATACGAGTCATAAATACTCATTCTATGCCCAAGTAAAACAGAAACAAGCAACACTTAGTGGGACAGCCAGAGTCTTAAGGCCCGAGCAGGAATATCTGCAAAAAAAGTCTGAATGTGTGATTGGGACGAGACTTATATCTCAACGACTAATCTCAAGATTAGACATTAAGATGTAAGTCTCGTCCTCACCACACACTCAGGAGAGTGTAAAAGACTTGGTGTAATTCTTTACATAAATTTCACAAATACACAAATGTTGTTTTTTTCGTAAATAATAATAATAATAATAATAATAATATAATATTACCATTAAAATTAATAACGATAATATTAAGTCCGTTAATAATTGTAATTATAATAAAATTACTGATAATGTGAAAATCCATTGAAACTATGTGGAGGATTCGAACCTGCATGATTTGGTATCAGATTTGGAGCCATGATTTGGTATCAGCTCGATGCCTCAAGACCCTATGTGGAACCAATTGAATCCCAGGTTGCATTATAACGTATCGTGGTTTAGTGGTTTAAGGCGTGTGCTTAGGAGTACTCATGGTGAAGGTTCGAAACCTCTGTATGGCTCCTATTGATTTTCTTATTGATACATAACGTTAATGTAATTTATTTGCGCAATAATATTAATAATTTAAATTATAATAACACTATTATCATTAAAAGTAATACAGATAATAGGTGTTAATATTAATAATGATAATAATAATAATAATAATAATAATATCACTGTTTAGCAACAATAACAACATAAATGCTCTCTTGTTGTTAACATTTTACGTTCATGAGCAAAAAATCTGCATTAAATTTCAGCGTTCACGAGCGTAAAAAAGTTTAGTTAATATCACCCAGTGTCTCTTCAGCGGATTACAGAGAAGAGATAATATATTCACTTTCTTAATTACCAGAAACCAACTCACAAGCGTATATTTAACTTTCTTTGCTGCCAGAAAGAGGAAGTTTGAAACGGATTTTGTATTTTTCTTCTGAAATACCGAATGGCAAAAAGTTTTCAGCTTATTTCTTTTAATTACGGGAGAGATGAACTTTTAGTTACAAGAAGACAAAGTTTTAAAGGAATTTTGTTTTCTGCATTTCCACAAAGGCAGCACGAGTAGTAAACACCAAGGCATGCACACACACACTCACGTACACGGTCATTCGAAAAGAAAGGATAAGATGGAATATGATTGCAACGTACAAGATACTGAGATGAATTGACAAGTGGATACACAAACTGTTGTCCAGATGAGGGACAACAGAACGACGTAGCACAAGTGAAGTCAGAAACAATAATGAGCCACTCTTACACAAAATAATATAGGAATTAAATTTAAACAAAATGTCCAGAGATGTACACAATGCGAGAAAAGAAAAGCTAAGGAAATTGGATTTCTCCACATTCATAGACGAAAAAGGACGAGGTGACAGGGTAGACACGATAACGACGTAGTAAATATGAAAAATAGTCGGCAAAACCGACAAAGAAATAATGTCTACTCATATATATATATATATATATATATATATATATATATATATATATATATGTCGTACCTATATAGAACGCATTCTCAGCCTACTATGCAATGATTTGCCTAATAAGCCAAGTTTTTCATGAATTAATTATTTTTTCACGAACTAACCTAACTAATCTTTCGTAACCTTTCTTTTCGGCTACCTAAGGTAATTAACATAAAGATAGGTTAGGTTAGGTTTTAGGGTGAAGGTTCGGTCATATATCTACGTGAAAACTCCAATAAAAAAAATGTAATCCATAATGAAATGGGAAGCTTTATCATTTCATAAGAAAAAATTTTGAGAAAATATATTAATCAGGAAAACTTGGCTTATTATGCAAATCAGGCCTTGCATAGTAGGCTGAGAAGTGCGTTCTGGCTACTAGGTACGACATATATATATATATATATATATATATATATATATATATATATATATATATATATATATATATATATATATACTGACAACTTCCAATCATTTCGAACAGTTAGTTGTGGCCTAGTGGTTAAAATACTATACACGATATGGTGTATGGAGCCCTGGCTGTCTGGGTTTGAATCCTTCAGGGGTGTGGTGTTTTCTGTTGTGTATTGGATTGGGACCATTCAAGCTTGTTCGAACCCAACAACATGGACAGACACAACAACAGGAACAAATCCACAGACACAACAACAAAGACAGATCCACAGACAAACCAACAAAGACAGATCCACAGACAAGCCAACAAAGACAGATCCAGAGACACAACAATGACAACAGGGACAGATCCACTGAGTAGTAATTAAATGAGTTTGTATGACTTTTTCCTAATTAGCACAGAGGTAAGATTTTTGCACTGCATCTTTTTGCTTTTTAACCTGAAGACTCGCTTTGCTAGTGTCGCTGTTTCCCTAATTAACAAAGACACATACTTTAGCTGACTTTCGTTGCCGTATTAAACAAGAATACACAATTTTAAATAACTCCTCTTGCCGAAAGAGCATAGAAAATAGCTTCTATGGAACTTTCTTTCCCCTAGTTAATAGGAACGCTAGGTTTTAAAGAGGTTCTGTTTGCCTTTTCTTGCTAATGCAAGATTCTGAATGTCAGTTTTTCTTTATTTAACAGAGACATAAGCATTTACGGGACTCCTGTTGCTATATCAAAGATCCTGACTTTCTTCTAGGTCCCTCCAGACTATTCCGAAGCTTCTCTCTGTCCATTGAATAGTAGATTTTTTCACTGTTTGTAAGTCGAAAAATTTAAATAGACCTTTTTTTATTTAGCCATTCACTTTCCCTCGAGTTGTAATCTGAACACCATGAATTGTTGATGTAAATTAAATCTTGAAACTCTTGTGAAATTTATCCAAACATCGCTGGTTCGATGAACTCAAATTTGTTGCAGTTTCATTTGATAATTAGCAATATTGAAAATAGCACCATTTCCAAGGCTTGAGAGAGATGTGGGGCCAGAATATGGAGGGGAAGGCAGGTGGGTGTATTTGACTAGTGCTACCTGGGATGTAATGATGTTTGATCTCTTGCCCAGCGAGAGTAATATATTGCTGCTGGTGATGATTCTCCTCCACCACTCGTATCCTTGTTTGATCTCTCTCTCTCTCTCTCTCTCTCTCTCTCTCTCTCTCTCTCTCTCTCTCTCTCTCTCTCTCTCTCTCTCTCTCTCTCTCTCTCTCTCTCTCTTCTCTCTGAGTCCGTTGCAGGAGAAAATATCCTCCTCTCCATTCCAGACACATCTCTCTAACTTTCTTTTGTATTCTCCACCTCGGCCTTTCTCTTCGTTTTTGTAATCGCTGGTGCAGAGTGGACTGCCAGCCAGAGCCTCCACAATTTCTCGCTTGGGACATTGGCTCCGGAAAATCTATCTTATTTTCTCGCTATTTCTCCATAAATTTTCTACCCTGTCTATATATTAATGCCTCTGTGATTCCTTTAGAGACCATCAACTTCCACGCTCTCTTTCTCTCTCTCTCTCTCTCTCTTTCTTTCCCATTTTCTGTCCCAGTATCCTCTCCGCCTTCTCTCTCATACTCTCTACTTCCTTCTCTTCTAATCCCATTCCATTTTTTCCCCTCCAAAGACTATTCTTTCCCTAATACCGAAGATCATTTCAAAGTCCGTCCCTCCAAAGACAGTTCCTTACCCTCCTTGCAACACTTCCTGCTCCCTCCAAGATCTCACCTTCAAGTGCTGTGATACAGACGGTCAGCAGCATAGGTTACACAGAGATGATGATGACGTCACCAAAAGGTTATTCCGTGGCGAGGTCACCATGGCTGTAAGGGAAGAGAAAAGGTCAAATTAGGTCACTGTACGTAACATGGAAAAGAAAATGACACGTTCTACGACTCTGTGAGGTCAACGTAGCTTTAAGGAGATGAAAAATAAGGACATGTGAAGTTTTTATAACTGTGAAGAATGATGAGATGTCAGGAGGTCATCTCATTTGTGATGGGTGAGAAGAGGTCACTCAATAGGTCATCGTGTAAGGGGGAAAAAACGACTCATCGACACTGAGGCGCAAACACAATTAATGTCAAATGAGTTCACTCTAACTGTAAATGGAGAAACCAAAAAGAAACTTAAACTCTGACGGAAGAGACTTGAAGGTCACCATAATAATAATGTAAGAAATTGAAAGGTCACTCAAATAGTGAAAAGGGAAGGGAGGGAACTGTAAGGGGAAAGCGCCAAGAAATTACGACTATATAGCACGGGAAAGGATCAGGATAAGGATTTGGGACGGGACGGGGGAGAAGGAATAGTGCCCAACCACTTGGATGGTTGAGGATTGAACGCCGACCTGCACGAAGCGAGACCGTCGCACTACTCATCCAGCTCAAATGGTTGTGCCAAATAGTGAAGAGAGAACCTCAAACGTTACCTTAACTGCAAATGAAAAACTAAATCTCTAACTGTAAGGGAAGAAGCTTCACCTGAAGTATGAGGGAAGAGACTCAAAGATCACCCTAGCTACTCCTAAGTGTCTCCCCTCACTGTGAGGGGAGACACTCCGATTCTGAGGGGAACAGAATAGACGTCACAGTGGGTGTCAGGAATCGACACCTACTTGTCGATTCCTTGTCAAAGAATCGACTTGAGAATGGTCCAGGACGGACAGAAACGTCGTCGTCCCTTCACTTTCTTGTGTGTGGTTTGGTCAACATATTTCTACCACGTTATTGTGACTCCTCGTCAGCTTCCATATATTAGAATATTCAGAAATCAAGATTTCAAAATATGAAGGTTTAATGATACCAAGATTTCAATATATCAAAATAAAAAGATATCAAGACGGAATAAAGATATGAAGGTATAAAAACATCAAGATATCAAGTTACGAAGGTATAATAATATCAAAATATCAACATATGAGGATATGATGTTATTAAGATAGTTACATAGGGACGCACTAGAGAATTGTGCAGCAGAATTGTGTCATACGACATTGTGAAGCAACATACCGAACGACCCAAACATTGTGAGTCAACATACCCTACGACCCAAACATTGTGAGGAAGATGGTACTCCAATAACCAACATCAATACCAACAGTTTGTTAAAACACGATCGTTGCTTGAGCCATAATATGATAATTTACAGTTACATTATACAAATTGCTAGGTTAAAAAAACAAATAACCCTGAAATAATCCTCCACTGTAACCTGTGTAAATCCAATCAGTAGGATTTATGCTTTGTTATCTGTGACAGGAATAGCAATTAATTCAGAGATTTTTATGCATTTTAACTTGTTACTGCAAATAGCGGGTTCAATAATATTGTTAACAATGATCACTAATTAAACTACAGTAATCAGAGCAGCGGCAGTGGATGAATTGCTGGGTAATTAGAGCTGTTTGTGTTACCCCTAAAATTTGAATATTTAGATGAATTCAGAACGAGCTTAGTGAGCGGCAGATGAGTGCGTGGGCCATTGATGCTGATATTGGTTCACAAACAGACCCCTGTCCTTACTTGTCATACAGAGACGGATGACTTGGGCCGTGTAGTGTTTGGTTCGTGTTTCCGTGTTGAGGTGGGCTGTTGTATGTTTAAATGTTTCTGGGGCCAGATTCACGAAGCAGTTACGCAAGCACTTAAGAACTTTTACATCTTTCCTCAATCTTTGACGGTTTTGGTTATATTTATTAAACAGATTACATGCATGAAAACTTGCCAATCTACTGGTGTCATTGGTATAAACAGCTTCCTGGTGCTTCGGAGATCATTAACTGTTTAACAATTGTAAACAAAGCCGCTAAAGATTGATAAAAGATGTACAGGTTCATAAGTGCTTGCGTAACTCCTTTGTGAATTTGGCCCTGTTCTGTATATGTCGAGGAAGAGATGGGAGGAGGAAGAATTCTTCTTCAGAGATGTGTGTTGCATTTTTATACCATGATACGACGTCTCGATTGTTCCGGCGGGCTTTTAATTGAGTGATTACGGCACGATACGAACCATCGCGTGATGGTGTCAATTTCTGAAGCGCTGGCGAAGTTCTTGAAATGATGTTTGATTACGGGATGATCGCGTGGGCAGTTGAGAGATGAGTCTCTCAAGTGAGCAACAGATGTGAGTATTTCAAGTGAGCGAAAGATGTGTGTGTGTGCGTATTGATGTGCACGTACGCTCCGGTGAGCGACAGATGAGTGTAAATATTCGAGTGAGAGAGAGAGGTGTATGTACTCATCCAAGTGAATGATACATGTGTGAACATACCTTTGAGCGACATGTGTATGTACATCTTTGAACGACTTATGTGTGTACGCACCAAGTGAGCGATAAATGTGTGCAAGCACTGAGTGACAAATGTTTGAAAATATTAAATGAGTGAGAGACCTGTGAATACATCAAGTCAGCGACCAATGTGTGTACAAGAACCATAAGGGAAATAATGACTCACAGAACGAAATTCAGCTAAGACGAGAGATGCCATATGCAACAAGGCGTCGTGTGTATAACTATCAGTCATCCGTTCAAGAATTTTTTTAGAGACTCCTCTCTACAACAACGCCAGAGAACCATTTTTGTAACTACATCTGAACAGTGTTGGTTGGACGAATGTTCAGTGTAAATAAATTAACAATAAAGTGGCATTCTTGAGGAAAATACATGTGTGTGTATTCACCTAGTTGTATTCAACTAGTTGTGCTTGCGGGGTTGAGCTCTACTCTTTCGGCCCGCCTCTCAACTGTCAATCGACTGTTACTAACTACTAACTATCCCCCCCCCCAGGAAGCAGCCCGTACCCGCTGTCTAACTCCCAGGCACCTATTTACTACTAGGTAACAGAGGCATCAGGGTGAAAGAAACTCTGCCCATTTGTGTTTTTCGCCGGCACTGGGAATCAAACCCGTGCCACAGGAGTATGTGCCTAGGGTGCTATCCACACAGCCACTGGCGCGCGCGGGCACACGTGTGTGTGTGTGTGTGTGTGAATATCATGTGCTCGCGTGTCTGTATGTGTCTGTGTGAGGTGTGCATGTACATGTGTGCGCGCGAGGAATCGCGTGTGCGTATGATTGCACTCAGTGTTCAACAAGCTTATTTATCAATTTTATACTCTCTGAAGTGTCGCAAGTGACTGGCAAATTAAATAATAAATGACGATAAATTGTGCATACAGAGATGAACTCAAAGGCTACTTTGTATAGGTATACAGAGGCGATATTTGAGGCGTTGATAATGGTGATAATGATGGTGATAATGATGGTGATAATGATCTCGTTGATGGCAGCGATATATTAAATAAATTGTACTTAAAGATGCAGGAATAAATTAATGTCAGAGAAAAATTATGAAAAATCATCTGTTATTATCAGTGAATAGAGACATTTGTATACACTATAATCATTCATGACTTGAAGCAGGACGTTGAAAAAGGCTAAATATTATATATATAAATATATATATATATATATATATATATATATATATATATATATACAAATCCACAAGGGCCGTGACGAAGATTCGAACCTGCGCCCTAGAGCATCCCAGACGCTGCCTTAATCGACTGAGCTACGACATGGTCAAAAGAGTTGAAACAGAAGTGCTACTGAACAAATCCAACAAATGTGGATTTGTTCATTTGATGTATCACGTTTTTGTGATTTCTGCGTTATATATATATATATATATATATATATATATATATATATATATATATATATATATATATATATATATATATATATATATATATTTTTTTTTTTTTTTTTTTTAAATAGGGAAGGGAGTACCACCTCTGGCTGGAAGAAGGGGGACCCATAGCCTCGGAGGAAACCACACATAACGCATTGGAGGGAATGTGTATTCCCTCCAATACAGTTTCTGTGTGCTTTTCTCCTACCACCCCCTTCCCTTTTTTTTTTTTTTTATTGTGTATTTAAAGGTTACAAAACATACAAGACAAATGCCTAAAGGTTATGGATCTCTTGAAGCTCCTCCGCTTCTGGACAGGAACCGAGGACTCAGCAAGCATTTCCCCTCTGGATCGCCACACTGAGACGCTGAAATAAAAAACTGGAAGCCCTTGGGTCTCTGGTGACGTCAATGAGCTTGGACCCCAATTCCTTGAGAAATCTCAAGGCACTCTTGCCCCAGGGGCCATGCGTCTCAGACGCTATGGGAACAAAGAAGTATTGACCTTCCAGTCGCCTGTACTTGAGTGATTTGCTGTTTCCCTGTGGTTGGCCGCCCCACCTGCTTGATCAGCTCCGAAGTGTACATAGGTGTCAGCCAGGGTGGATACACATGTGTAGTCCCACACCAACTGTCTACCCTCCTTCCATGAGTATATGGTGATGCCATCAGGGCGAAGTGCGAAGTGAAATATATATATATATGTATATATATATATATATATATATATATATATATATATATATATATATATATACATATATATATATATATATATATATATATATATATATATATATATATATATATATATATATATATATATATATATATATATATATATATATATATATATATATATATATATAGCGCTCAACACTGCGTCTTTGATCGTGCAACGGGCAACACAGCGAGCTGCAATGGTGGCAATGCTCCTGGGATACACATTCATGGTATGCGTTGCCCTATTTACTTCCCATCAACTTCGATTAATTCCCGGATTAGTGCACTCTCTCTATTGATCCTGAGGGAGGGGCGGAGTGAGGGAGAGAGGCAGATAGGAAGAGAGGGAAATAAATGGGAGGAAGGTTAAAATAAAGGGAAAAAGAATGGGAGGGCTGGATGGA